TTTGTAACTTCCTCTCCTCGATTCAGAAGGTAGAAAGAATATATCTTACAATTTTTCTGTGACTAATGGTAGAGATCATGACACGAATCATTCAGTCCACCCGTTTGGGTTCTTACCCGGGTGATGTTGCAAACATTTTTTTCAAGTTATAAAAGATTTTTTAGTCGACTTCTACTGCGCCTCAGGATTTCTGTTTATCAGACGCTCGTTCACTCTAATTAACAACTATATGCCTCATTCTCCGCCAGTTCTGTTCACAAGCATCGTGATGATGCGTGAGCATGCACTTACGCGCACAGGAAACATGCGCCACCGCTTCCGACCCAGGCGCAGAAATTCTACACCTGTACCACGTCTTCCAAAAGAATCGGTAAGCAGTGAGGACACTCTACGGTGAACTTCTGTACCCACTTGTAACTTGATGAAACCATATCAGAACAGGAGTATGGCAGTTGTACTATGCACACCTCAGTTATCTAGGCCAATAAGACGATTCCTGAACGATGTGTGCGAAGGGTCCATTACGAGACCGGCATGAGTTTGAGGATGCTTTTATTCGGAAAGCACACTCAGAGCAGCCCGTAGGGGACTGTGTTTACAGCGTCGAGTGCGAGTCCTGCCATACGTTGGAAAGGTCTTACCGGAAATTGAATATTTTGGTAATAGTGCACTTAACAGCATTCTTCCTCGGACAGGCTGACTAATGAGGGATTGCATGACACATCCTATCTGAGAGACTCTCCTTCAGTTAGACGAATGCGTCTGTAATCGACAAGGATCAGCCGTGGATTAGTCTGTTGATAAATGAGTCCCTGCATATTTTGTCGATAAGATATCGTACGTTTAGTGAATACTCTTCCTTCACGGTGGTACGCCATCTGTCGGTGATACGCCATCCTCGCGCTATCGCCAGTTTAATAGGACTGTTCAGAACAATTTAATATGTGGTTTAAACGGCAGTCTGAAATTTAAAGTTAAGAATATGCTGCTTTAACATCTGCTCGAATTTGTTCCTTCTTTATCACAGAGACTGTGATCTTACATGCGACGCACTGCAGGCGACTGCATACCAAGGAACCGTGACCTGTTTCAATGGTCTTCCCTTCCCCTAGATGACCAGAAGCAAGGTGGCAGGGCGTTTTCGCTGTGTAAATGCGCTAGTTAAAATTAATATTTACCTGCGAAATTGGACAACTTCCATTCGTGGTAGCCACCAGTAGAACATCGAGTTTAAATTTATCTCATTTTTCTGTGTTAATATCTGCGTTATTTGAAGGCCGCCATCATGAATCGACAAATCATGTATATAATTTCAGCAACTCGTCCAGAATCAGAAATGTCAAGCCATGTTTATTAATTCACAACAAGTGAGTTCGGCTCCGACCTATCAGCATTTTTCGTAGCAGTTTGTTTGAATATCACGTCATAAACTTGCCTAGCACGAGTACAGAGGGATTTTAATTCTTTCACTCCAGAGTATCATCATAACCGTTTATCTAACGATGGAACATCTTAAATTAAATGATCACTTTGCTTACTTGATTGTCATATCTCCGTATTAGATAAAACGTTCAAATCTATCGTACTGACCAACACCGTCAAATTTAAGTTGTGACTTCTGTACCTACTGGTCGACTTAAAAGATGCTTCGAAATTTGAACTCCTTTGGCCATTCTGTGACAGCGTTGCTGTGAAAAAAATTCCTTTGAACCATCTACTTTGGAAGATATACTTTGACAATAGGGAACTTTTTCCTTTCGACCTTTTCGACATTCTTTTCTTTCATAACTACAGTATCAAGAAAAAACTAACGGAGATTGATCTGTACGTTGATCCGTGCTGAAATTCACGCCATTCTGGTGAAAGCGGTTTTTCCAGGTAGCGTATTTTTTTATACTTCACTGTTGTGCTCGGCTGTTGTTCGTCAGAAACTGGCTGGGACGTATGTGTAACTGATGGTTCGAAATGGATATCGGGTTTACACCTTGTGTTGATTCTTACATTCGATCGCATGGTCGTGCCCCTCATCCGTTCTCGCATGACCACACCAGAATACCATGCCGTCCATACTTCTCACAAGTTCATATTTGCCCTTCCTAAGACGATCAAGTTAACTAGTTGACATCATCTCGAGTATTGGATTTATCTTGTTATTGTAGCCTTTACATTAATGACAAATATGAGTCATTGATCGCTGCCTTTGTATTTATTTTAAACCCAAAATTATAATTATCTGCACGTCAACCGCAGCATTGAACCGAACCAGCCGCGCTGTTAAGCAGGCGTTTTTCGGGGTTGCACGAAATTACAGACATTCCGTAAAATGGTCGTATTTCAGTTTCTCTGGCAGTCCTTAAGCAATGCGCATTTTCGATTTTGTTTGTTGAATAATGCCAATGTTTGATTTGCCTGCTTAATCGCCAACAAATGAACACAGCAGATGGTAACTGTTAAAGTCTGTTGGGTGCGCAAACTGCGAATCATCCATCGCCGTTTCTGCGCGAGCCTTGAGGGCGAATCTGAACATCCAGACTTGAAGAGGAACTCAGTGCAAACTTTGCACTCGACGGACCGTCCTCAGATCCGCGTTGAGACTCTTAGCAGTCACGTGCCCAAACTGACCAATGTAACAACGAATCTTCTCTGATTTAACGGCCTGTAGACCGTTTGAAAATGTTCACTTTGGAATTCAAACGTTGCTAAATGGGAGGCTACGAGGCTTGGCGACCGTATGCAAATTAAGTGGATGAGGTCTGCCAGGGGAGACACGTAATACAGCGAACCGTCTGGTACATCGCAAGAGTGAGTGGATGTGGGCTAAGAAGGACTACTGATTCCACCAATTTTTTTCGGATCGATCTGATCGTGACTGGCTGCTCAAAAAGTGTCATCGCACGGCGTTATGGACTCCCAACGCTTTAAGAGAATCTTAGTCGTGTCTTGGCTAAACGCGACAGTAATCGTGCTCATCCGTGTAACTCACTCAAGTGCAATTCACTTGTGCAGCTGATTAACGAATGAGCAGACCTGACAGGAAATCGAAATCAATGATAACCATCCTGACAAAATTTATATGCTGATTCTTAAAGGATTGCGTTCGACAGCCTGTAAGTGATTTCGCCAGTCTCGTCGATTATGATACCTTCACAAGTACGAAATTTGGTGGAAATGCGATGGGTATAGTTGTTTGATGAAGATCGCAGACTTGTCAAAAGAAAGTTCCAGTGCGTAGAAATTGGCGCCTGGCATAAAAATGGTCTTATAATCGAACGGGTATTGGTTAAAGACTTTTATCTCTGGGAAATTTATCACTGACTTCAAAGGCACTGTAGGACAAATGTACAAACGACGGGGAAACTTTGTTGCAGCTGGTTTGCCTGTAAAGTGAAGAATGTCAGGTCTGCTCTTGTGAGTCATCATTTCCTAAATAAAGTTCTGAAGTCCGTGATATGATATCAGACTGACCTTATGACCACGATAAGAATGGAAAATGTAAAGCACGTTAAAAGCTATCTAGAGACAGATCTAGAAAGGGAGTGGTCGAAGTAATGAACCAGGAAACGAAGCAGTACATTGAAAAGAATTGATTGTCGACGAGGACCGTGAAAATAGAGCTAGCAGAATGTCGATATATGGTGAGGGCAGAAACAGGGTGTTAAATGCTGGTGTTGCGATTGAAAATAGCGGTCATTGCGAGGAAACTGACCAGTAGCAATTTTTAGTTCGTTTGCAGCTGCATTTGATCTTTCCATTATTTGCTAAATTTCGAATCCTACCTCATATGTATACGGTAGATGGAATCGAAGCTCATTTCTCTATATGCGCACTGTTATAGCATCTGGATGGTATTCGATAATCTTCGTGGATACTTCTCTTAAGGGCCTCTACGTGATCTGCTGTCTGTTCATCACCGCTTCGATGGTTCTGACGACTGTTGAAGGCATTGGGCCTTGTTATTCCACAGATTCAGTCGCCGTATTCAAATCGTGAAATTTCAGCTGCTTCGTCTATTTCCTGAGAGCATGATATGTTCTGCCGGACACTGTTTTTTCGCTTTCTTGTAGACTTATTGAAGCATTTCTGTTTTCATCGTTAGGAATGATCAGGGACGTTGTTTACTGCAGTTTCAGTTCAGTCTTTTCGCCATATATCCCCGTTACTTTTCGGATGGACGTTTTACTAACTCTTGATGACCTGGCAGCGCGTCAAACACCTGTATTAGCAAAAATCTCTTTGGTGGTGTTGATATTCAGCTTGCACATTTCCTCAGATTAATGGGTTTTTAGATTTTCCCTCGAGTCTGCTAAACCTCAGCGACATGAACACCTGCTCACAGTTTATACTGCCTACTTTTCCAATGTTTCCTTCCGTTCTAATGATGTCTAACGTTCGTTAGATCAGGTATAGCGAACATTTTGTCATCCGTATTTAGAAGCTCATAATCTTGAAGCTCATGTGTCTTCTGATGCAATGTTCGTCAGCAAGATTACAAAAGAAGCGTTCTAGTTGATATAATTACAAGTTGTTGATCAAACTGGCATCGGCTGTCATCGGTGAATAATAACAAGGTCAAAACAATTCAGGTTTTATTGACTTTTTTCATGCTCTAATGATGGCCGATGCTAATTCTGCCGAATGATTAGCAATAAATTAAGTTATCAGAAAGGTAGGTATACTTCGAAAGAAGTTTTCAAATAGATATGGGCACTGATTTTGGATTTTAGGTTACAAAGATGGTTTTATTCAAATTGGTTTTTCATCTCATTAATTAAAAATTTAAACTTTAATTCGGGGATTGCTTAACTATTGCAGAGTCCGGAACAGTATTCGCAACGATCTTGTACCTGACGGTGGCGAGCCACCTGTAGGTAGAGTCAAACCCGATGCAGTTGCCTTACCATATTTTGGACGACGAGCTCGAGTTTCGTTTTTCGTTTCCGGAGTCTTGGTTGTTTTTGGTGCATTTGAATAGTTTTTGGCATAAGGTTGAAAGACTTGCAAATTCAGTCTTTTATTCGAGCGATTACTTCCAGGGTTGGGTTTTCATGTTTCGTACGGAATTGCTTAGTATATAAACTTTATTAAAGAAATTACCGACATTTCGAGCCATCTTTCTAGAAGAATAACTCCTCCCTCCTACCATTTAACGGTAACACAGCAGCGTGTTATTCAAGCAGGCTAATGGACCGAGCTTGGAGCTGCGTTTCCGTCCCTGCAGTCGCACAGCATGAGCAAGTCGGTAATACAAACATCCAGTAAGGACAGTGCACTTTTCCACGGGATGTTGCATAGCTTGGAGGACTTTGTCGTAGCCTTTGACGATTCACTGCGTATCGACTAGAATTCGAGTGAGGTGAAGTAATGCTTAATGGCAAAGAACTGGGTCGCTTGCGCATCGACTCCTACGCGGTAACCGATGAGTGATTTTTCATAGCATACCTACTGTATTCTGGAGAGTGGTCTTGACGTTGCTATCGCTACACTTGGCCCAGATCTGTTGTTAACGCTGTTGTTTTAGTTTAGTGTAGTCGTACTGGTATGACCTTGAATCTTAGGTCGGTATAGCTTTGCGTATAGGACGGTTCGGGTAGACGAGCAGGCGTGTTGCGGAAAGCGTATCGATACGATTTTTCGTCCTCAGTTAAGATGCCATACATGTTTCATACTACTTCAGCATTACCGACAGTTATTTGCATAACATCGTATGTATTGGTGCGATCGAGGAACAGTCCTCCTTTTCTGGCTGTCTCCGTCTCCGTCATACGTTTCTTACTTGCACTCGTAGC